GCACGACTGGGCCACGCACTTCAGTGACTGGGTAGCAAAACGGTGCGGCAAAGAGTCTGGGTGACTCTGACGCTTTTCTTGTTTCGTGACCGCCTACGCCTTCAGGCCTTCAACCATGCCCAAACAAGTTCTTCCACGGCCATTGTTCAAAAGCATCCAACGGCCCCCCCTTCCAACAAACGCTCTTAAATCATCCTGAAAACTATCTAAAGATACTCACCTCCGCCATCCAAAGACGGCGGGTCTGGTGAATCCAGCAGGTATTATATGATCAGGATCCAACCACGGCAAAAGGCTGGACCCTCCAACTCACCCTGCGAACCGAACCAAAAAGGAGACCACCCCGTTCGACTCAGGAATCCTGGCCGCCGCAACAGGCCCAAGGCTCCCAGCGTGTTTGCCGGTCCTCGTTGAGCTCCAGCGCCCGTCGGAGCACTCGCTGGGCTTCGGGAGCGGTGGCCTGGCGAAGACTGACTGGCATTGGATGGAAGAGATGCTTCTCAAATGCTCCATGTATGGATGTATATCAGCATGCATATATATATAATATAAATAAATATATATATATACAACACATGTCATAATATACTAATATATGCTACATGTCTTCTCATACGCGGGAGTGTCTGGGCTTGGACTCTAGGGAATAACATATTCATGCATATTCCATGGTTTTGGTGGACTCACCCACAAAGAAAAGACACACGGATCACCCGAAGCAATACTAGTTCAGAACATCATACGTCCAAAACCTCGTCAAGAGCCGAGACATGTGCAGCAAAAAAGGCCACTGTGTCCCTTGCCCTTTCGCGGAGCCATCCAAGGATGGGAACCTTGACCTTCTCCGCGTTGGATGACAAGGGCATCAATAGTTTTTATACATATTACATGTTATACATGGCGTGTTTTTGTTGTGTTTTTATTTGCAATCTCGCTGAGCCGACTTTTCCACCAGTTGTTGTATCACCGTGCATTGCCCAAATAAAAACAATAAAATTGCACAAAACAGTGCACCCTTCAAATCTTGTGAGGCTTCGCCTGTTGGGTAGCCCCACCTCGCCCGACTCCAAGCGAGACAGGTCGTGGTCGCGCAACACGCGCAGATCTTCAAAAGGGAGACGCCTCACCTGGGCGCCACACGCGCGGCGTAAGCTAAACGAGGCCAAAAGAACGACTGAGCTGACACGGCCAAAAGAACGACACCTCCACGGGCTTGGGTTTGGAATGTTTTGGGAGAAAACGCGGCACCGTTCCGTGGATTCAGAGTGGTACAATTTGACAATCCCCAAGTTTGATGGTTTACATGTACCCTATCTAAGGACATCTTGGGGTCTGTGCAAGGGCAGTCTGAGACCTAGGTGCAATAAATTGGGTGTATCATTGGCACTTGCAAACCGCAAAAAGAGTATCTTATAGCATTTTGCCCTATAGGTTCACATTAAAACATATTAAAACTATTTGCTATATCACATGGCCAATACTCGCAGCTGTTCAGGGGTTACAATTCGCTGTGTCTCGTGTGCGCAAATGTGAGAAGGGTGGACTAGCAAACGGCGTTCAAAGAGTGGTGGACGGTGCCAAGTGGCCAGGGTGTGGCAAAGCTTCACATAAATTTCTTCAGCCACGGGATGTGCTTCTTCTGTTCGACGTGTGAAGTCGGAGCAAGTCTCGGACTGCTCACCTCAGCGTAAGGCACAAGCAATCGTGGTTGGTGGGTCACCGGCCGGATCAGGAGTCCATTTCCCTCTTACTTACTATCCCTAGGGCTCCAACCATATCCTAAGAAGGTGGTTAGACTCCCCTGGCACCCACCTCTGGCACCCACCCCTGGCCCATCTTCTCAGGAGGTGGTTGGAGCCCTAGGGTATAACCAAACCATACAAAATCCAGGGGCCTGAAAAAAAAAGTGCACGCCTAAGTGCGCATGAAGCCTGCCAACCACTGGTGAGTGGCTCTGTCTGAACAAGGCGCAGGTCCCTGTGGTTGTCAGATTGTGTTGGGGTTCGTTCGGGAAGCCGTGAGTGGGTCCGTTTTCCGTGTCCACTACCAAGTTGCGGCGAAAGTCCCTTGCTGCCAGCTGTTGATATGAACGCTCTGCGTCATCTTCTCTCCGCCTTCTCTCTCTGGCATGCTCCGCTCGCTGGTCTTCTAGGACCTGCTTCATCTCTTGCTCCAGGTAGTGGGCGATGAAGTCTCAGATCGAGCGCTACCGCACGCAGCCGCTGAGTGGGCGCTGCAACCAAAGACACGACGGCCTAATTGAGCTCTTTAGAGCCAACCAAAACGACCAACCTGTAACCATACAAGTCTTCAATATGTGTGTTTTTCCTCCCTAGGGCTCCGACCGGGGTCGGAAAACCACCGAACCTGAGGATATGGTTGGAGCCCTAGGGTTTACTTGCTGGGGTCATGTCCTCGAAGGACGTGCGGAACTCGAAGGTCCAAAATCAACGTTGTTCAGGCTGGAGAAGGAGAGGGACAGTCCGGACGGCTGGCCGAATCCAAACTACCAAAACACGGGTCAATATACATCTGGAAAGAACAAAATAGATCAACCTAGCTCATTCAACCGGTTTGACCAAGCCTGATGCGGGTGGAAATTCCGAGACCTGAGAGTTCCTGAAACAAGTACAGGGAACTGGAAATAGCATCACGACTTGCCATCCAGAACGCCGGGAACAATGCCTGGTTGTGCCTCGCTCACGTTTCCTTCACATCCGGGTTGCTTCCCTACACCCCTGGAAAGAACAAGTGCATACAAGTGCAACGAATCCGACGAAGGGTTGGTCTGCGTCAGTCAGTGACCAAAATATGCCTATACATTGAAATCAAGCACCACAATGCAGCTTCATATGCCAATCCCGAGTGTTTGGGTCGGGTAATGCTTTGTGTGGCACCGGTTACGCCCTGGAAGATTCACAACCCTGAAAACCACGTAATAAGAGAAACATGGTCTTCCAGTCTAATGCAGGCCATCAGGTTCCCCCGGTGCTTCTCGTAAACCCCCCCGGTGCATCTCAGGTTCGCTTTTGGCTCCGACCGATGGTTTTCCTCTACCAACCCAGTGGTTTTCAGGGGTCCCTGTCAGTCTCTTCCTTCCCGGGGGTGCCCTTCACGCCCAGGCACCGTTCACGCCTTCCCCGTGCCACTGAGAGCGGTGAACACGCACGAAGGCGGAGAAGTGCACATTGAGATCCTGGGGATGGTGACCGATCCCTCAGACCACCCCGTCATGGAGGCATTTTTGTTCCATACGTGGAGTGTTTGGGAAAGGTGCCAGGCACCTCTGGGTCAAGGAAAGCAGCATGGAAGAACGATGGAACACATCAATTCACAACCTCTCACCCTGCTTAAGTGCACTAACACAAAAAACAAGCTGCTTAGCAGCTTAGCTGCTTTATTAATTATAAGGATTTATGAGGTTTTAATAGGTTCTATTTGGGGGGCAGGCATTTTGTGGGCCAGCGGCACATCTCGTGGAAGCCATGATGCTGAGGGACAACAGAGTCATGAAATCCAAGACCACCTACACCCGGAATCCAAATGCAATACCAGCACAATGCCGGAACCGGAACCTACCCCTTTCCCCCAAACTTGCCATGTAAGGTACCATTCGGGTGAACCACCCCCCTCAAAATAACAGAACGGTCGAACAAAAAACGAACAAAAAAGCCACCAGAATCATCCAATGGGTGCCCAATGGACTACCCTACCCTATTTAGGGATCTCCATTGGACACCGGATAGCCCAGGCAGGTATGAATGAACCCTTTTCAACTCAACATCGATGCTCAACGTCTTTTTTGGGCGCCACCAAGGCACGTCCAGGACCGTCAAGACCTCCTGCATCCTCAGCTCGTGCGAGCCTCCGCCACAGCGACATAGGATCTCAGCACCTTCGCGGTCTGTGACCTGTCGACCATACAGTCGGCGGAAGAGAGACGCGCCGGTGTTGTCTTGGCGTCGTCTCTATCCCATATAGAGTAATTACATCAAATCTCGGATCTTGGTAGGAGAATGTATCCAAGAAGGCATCTGGTGAAGTGCAATCTGTAGCTACTTCGCAGTTGGAACCTCTAGTGCTTGATGCCCCAAACCAATCCTGCGACCAATCCCCAGCCTTCCATCCTTTCTGAGCGGGGCAATCCAGCTGGGCAAGCCTCACACGACCAAGGGCAGCAGTGGCCCAAGTCACACTCTGACTCTGGCGGTTGATCTTCCTTCCTGGAATTTGCAGAAGTCCCTAAACGACACGAATTGTTTCCAGGAGGGTCCCTGAAAGATGGACGGACGGACAGGCCCTTCTTCTAAGTCCTTGTTTTTCCCGGAAAGTTGATCCAAAGATCCCTTTGTTCATGGTCTTGCAGGTTTAGTAGCGCCATTGGCTGGATACATGTACCCGCCCAATAGTAACAAGTGTACACAAAGATGCTCAACATCTCTGTCCTTCCTCTTCGGGTTTCAAAAAGAACAGTCCATAAATTTATAATGTGTTTCTACATCTTGATGGTAAGAGTTCCAAATGCTTGGTCATAGCATTATGAAACAACGCTTTTGCACTATTAATGGAATTCAATAGGAACAGCAGGCAGCTATAGAACTTGAAAATGACTCAGATCCCATGGATTCTGCACACTCGTTCCGCCGTCCCCAACATTCCCCAACTCCGATGCAGATCCGCCGCTGATGCTGAATGGCCTGGAGGGCATGGTCGGATGAGGGGGATTCCTCCAGGGCTTTGGGTGTGTTCTGGTCCTGTGTTCTTCTCTTGTGCATGGTGTCAGAAAAGCAACTGCGGTCCGTGGCTGAGAAACCAGAGATCCTCCCTAGAGGAAGTGTGCTGTTTTCTGCCAAATATAACCCGAGGGAAACCGGGAAACCACCGGGAAATGCAGCCACGCAGGATTCCCAACAGTTGCATCAGCAAACCTCTCTTATTTACTGTTCTCTTTTCACCCCGTGTTTGGATGCACACATGAAATCATCAAGTCCTCCAGAGACGTGTGCCCCACTCCTCTTGCATTTGAACGACGCCAACAGCATCGGCCTGCACCGGGTCTTGCAGCACGGGCAGCTCTCGCCGCTCCACCGGGAAGCTGTAGGTTTGCAGCTCATGTCGAGGCCGGATGAAGTCCACGTCTCTCAAGAGCACCTGAAAGGTGAAGCGGGCGATGGAGGTGCCGCTCGATCTTGGGGTGCTGGATGGGTGTGGCATCCAAGAATGGAGAAGAACTTCTTGAAAAGGAAGGTCACCAAAGCTGTGCAAGCGCCAACAAGGGAGTCAGCACAGGAGAATTGAGCATCTGGAGGGTGAAGAGGCAATTATGGCAAGAACTTTTCGTTATAAGTCTGTAGATGTCGGGGAAACATAGGAAGAACAATGTTGCCTAAGTATATCTAATTATACAATATATAGTTCTTGGAGGCATACAGTAATACCCGAGGGTCCTGAACACAAACATGCCACTGACATCCACTGACCTATCCTCTCTTCACATATGTTCCGCGCGCCTTTTTGCTCTCTGTTGATATGGCCAAGTCATGCATATGGGACCTGGCAGCCTCGAGGAGGCCAAAGCTACGATCAAATGTTTTGAAACCGAAACTGCTTGATGCGAACATCAGAAAGCACTTGACCAATCTTGAAAATATACGGTCAGCGGCACGGGAGGGGTAGGTCCAAAATGTTCTTGAAAGAGTGTCACATATTAGCTCTTGCAAGGAATGATTGAATGAAGAAAGGGCATGGCACTGGCACCATGTCATATGCGTGTTGCAGTATTAGGTCACCGTTAAGCAAGATAGCAAGGCATAACGTATGTCCGCACATCTCTGCATGAGACCAGAAATGCCTGGCCAAAGGTTGCTAATCCTCCTGCAAAAAACTGCTGCCGATGGTGTCGGCTAATTTGGCAATAGACATGCTCCCATTTGGCGGGCGGAACTCTATGTCATAGGCTTGGTGTGGGCCGAGTGGGCTGAAGAAAAATGAGCTGAATAAACAACAATAGACATACAGAATACAGCATTAGCATCTCCAAAGTCACTAGTCACACTCGAACCATCTCGAACCGGTAAGAACCCCAGGTGCAAACAAGTGCAAACTACAGCCCCAAAAAATAGACTTGTGAACTCATCTGAGGCTAGACTAGGCTAGACTTGTTGACCAAAGAAATGCACCCCACTTCAAAGGGCCTCTGCTGACCGTTTTCTACGCGACCTACCCGGTCCATGTCATAGATCATCTCAGCTTCGCTTCTGATAGGATGCGAGCCGCGATTCCATCTCCTTCAAGTCCGGATCCACCTGGGATCGCTAGGGGATGTTCCGACATGGGTGGCCTGAAACAAGGACAGTGACGAACATCAACATCGTCACCCGGCTGTTGGGTATCGAAAATGGTGCTCTTCAGATGCCCATCACTTCTGGCTAGAGGACGTAAGAGAAAAGCTGAACTATATCCCCCATCAGCAGTGTTTCGAGCGGTGCACCTTGATATCCTTGTTGCTGTAGCCGAACTCTGTTCGCAACTTCGCCTTGTACACTTCGATGTCACCTGAGAGTGGCACTGCGAGCTCTTCGAGCGGGTTTTTCGTCAGAGTTGCTAGCTGCTAGCAGCCAGCCTCAGCATCCTGGCGATGCAAGTCTAAGCCTAAGCTGATATAATGATGAAGGTCAACAAAATGCAACAAACATGTCAAAAGCATTCAAAAGCCCCAACCTCCTCAAGTCCACCACCTCCAGCCCCCTCTGAAAAAGGGACGCACTGAAGTTCGGGTGTCTTGAGGTCATCGTCGAGTGGTTGACCATTCCGCCGGGTTCGGACCAAGTGGATTTCGCTCAGCCAAAGGCTTTGAAACCTTCAAATCGAGGGTTTAGTTCTGAGAGGTTTGCTCCTTGTTCGATGTCAAATTTGCCTTGAAGCTGCGAAATCCACTTTGTCTGAAGCTGGCTGTGCCCAAAGCTGGATTTCTTCAAGTCAAATTCGCCTTGAAGCTGCGCAAACTCCCTTTGCTCCTCGGCCGTGAGTGGTGTCTTCTTGTCCTGGGCCAAAAGGAGCGCCACGGGGTTTGGAGCTTCATGGGATGTGAAAACATGGAAACACCTGGACCCAAACAGCAGCTGAAACCGTAGTATAACCCATCTGTTCTTGAGCCTTTTGGGCTGGGACATGCTAAGGAACAGGCTGAAAAGCATTCCAAGAGTTCATGGAGTCTTGCTGCAGGCAGGGAGACAAAATCAAAGCCCAAAAGGTTCGCCAAACGCAATTGACAACTGGTTTGCAGGGGTTTCTTGCAGGGCAGTCCTATGCCAGTAAAGGGTGGGTCTCCTTCCAGACCCCTGGGCGCCCTTGTGCCTGGCCTTCTTTGCATCCTTGTCCTTCTTGCTGCTTCCTGGTTCCTGCTTTTCCTTCAGCTCATTCATACGGTTCACCATCTTCACCACCTCCTCATCCTGGAGCCGCGACCAAACGTGGGCAGGAGAATGGCCCTGAAGCCAATTTCCCTGTTCCCCTTTCCAAGATCGTCTTAAAATAGTACGTCTTTGGTGGATGGTCCTTGTTCTGCTGCCCACCGCTCAGGCCCTGTTCTTTCAAGATGGCCTTCCGTTCCACAATGGCCTGCTTCAGGTCTTCCAGCTCCTAGGTTGTTCCATGCTGGACAAGGGTCCAGCCAGCACTTTTCCAGGCACGGAGATTAGAGGAACTGCCGTGATCTATTGACCCTCATGTGTGATAGATCCATGGATTACAACCACTGCCAAGCAAGAACGTGTCATTCAACTCAACATTATAGAATATTTACTTTAAATATGGCTATGGTCGTCATGGGAAAGTCGTAACTAGGTGATGTTGATGGCTCAATATACAACGTGTCTGGTAAGAACCACCACCTCTCATCTCAGGGAAAACGATGCCAGCATGGCTGGAGAATTGCAGGTCCGACATGTTCCAACCTTTCTTGTTCACATGTTCCTGAAATTGGAGGACATGATACAAGCTGCTCATGGGGGGTGCAGCTTGTAACGCACCTCTCAGATCATTCACAGTAGCAAGTCCAATGCTTGGCCTCTGGGTAAAATGTAAGTGTTGTTCTATTTCCAGGTGACCTTCAGATTCAAATTGTATAAGTTGATGGAAGTTTGGTCCGCTCATTTTACACATTCCCCAGCACAGCTGGTCTCCTTGGTTTCGGCGGGGCTGAGGCCACTGCTTTCCTTCTTCTCCTGGAGTTGTCCAATGGGAGGATCATCAAACAAATCGAGGCCGGGTGCCTTCAATGGTCGTTCAGCAAGGACATTAATGCCGCCATGCCCTTTGTAATAGAATGACACTTCGACCAATTGAGGAATTCTTGCTTCAGGTAGGATCTCCATATGTTTCGATTACCTTCCCCCCTCAATCGCACTTCTGTGCGCTTAAAAGCTTAGACTCACCAGATCGGCGGGAAAAAGTGGGTTGCGCTGCCCAAAGCGGGGCTCCACTTCCAACAGCCTCCAGCCATTAAAGAGAAGCATCTTCATCCAAGATCTGCCACAAAACTGAAAACCCATCTCCACCTGCAAAACTGATCTCCAGCCTGGTCCAGCCTGCCCCCCTTGTGGACTCATTGAAACCGAGTCCTTCTTTGATTCCTTCTTCGTCACAGCCTTCACCTCCAACGTCTCTGCAGAGATCTCCTTGGGTGCCTCCGGAAGCACTGCGGCTTTGATCACGAAGTTGCCGAATTTGGGCCTCACCGTGGCACTCTATCCGCCGGCACCAGCGGAGACTGGGCAGCGAGGGAGGGTTCATAAGTCGAAGATTGGAGGATATCACGCATATGGCCAGTGTCTGAGAGGCTTTGTATTGAAATCACAGCAAGCAAAAGCTATCAACACCTTCATGGCAAACAAGGTGTTTGGCACTTGAGCCAGTCTCACGGGTACCCCTCTGACCGGCTCTACTTGAGACGCCTGGCCCGTCCTAACTTGATATGTTTAAACCTTTAAAACGCATCCCAAAGGAACATAGACAGGTCATCTTATGTCTGTGTCCACCTATGTCCACCTAGAACCATCCACATGAGTCCTGCCAGTCCACCATCTTTCCACATGCCTGGATCCGAATTCAAGTACCTTAGACAATGGGACATGACCCTACAAAAACAGGTACCTTGTACCCATTAGGTACTCGGTACTACTAGGTACGACCCGAGCGAGTCTCTCGTCTGTTTTCGAGGTACGTCCGACTCCTTTTTCTTCTGCTTGGTCCGTGCCGAGGAGCTCGAGGCCTTTGCCAATCTTGCAGGCGTCCACGTAACGCTGCTGACTCTTCAAGTCGGCGATTTCTTTCCTCGGCCCCCGATTTGTCATGGGTGGCCACCAGTCTGACATAAGTAGAACAAGCATGTGTTAAAAGGTTGGTCCTAAATACTGTAAGACGTAAGACCCTTGATCAAACTGCCCGCAAACTTGGATTGTAAAAGCTCATTCATGTGCCTGGGCCTGGGTGTTTTAAATGGTATTGTTGTTTTTTTCCTATTTATCACCTATCATCACCTATCCACTTCATCCTCCATCGAGGTCTCCCACATGTGATCGTCCAAACCTGGTAGGACACCTGGATAACAGTCACCTGGGCGACTGGAGAACACTCTTTGAACAAGTCGGCCTAGCGTCCCCTTGGCTGCGCGTTCCTTTTTGTTGTCCTTGCCGGTGAGCAGGGCAGATTCATCTTCCAAAGCAGCGATTTTCTCCTGTTGAGTAAAACGAGCAACGACCAAGGAAACGAAGACCTTCGTGGGTCCGTCGAAGGGTCCGTTCTCACTGTGAGGAACCGAGATCAACAATGTACCAGGACCCTCCTGTCGGGGTGTCCAATGAACTACCCCACACTACCTATAGGCTTCCAGACAGGGCCCTGTGGAGGCTCCTGGTATAACAATGTCATATTTCCCTGGATTTATGTTTTCGGCCGTTCTTTGTTTTCACATGGTTGTTCTATGTGTCATAAAGCCAAGGTTCTTATATACTATATACCTTTTTTTGTGTTCTCTCTCTCTCTCTCGTTGTTCACTCTCGTGGTTTGCACACCAATTCATAGGCAGTCTGAATGACTCTGGACATCTCAAAAACACTCAGCATTGCATGGACTGTCCAGCTGTGAACTGTAAGAAAGGACAGAACCATAAAGAACAGCGTATATAAAGATCCAGTTCTCAGCAGCAAGAACCTTCGAAACCATTCCCAACGTGTCCAACCTTTTTGGGTTTCCGCTCCATCTCCCTGCGTGTTCAGACGTGTTCGGGTCCTCAATCTCCTTCTTGTACTTCTCCGCCTGGGCCGTGTCGTACTGCGCGGGCTCCTTGGCCTGTTGCGATTGGAAGAGCCTCTCGCCTTGCTCAGCCTGGGCCACCAGCGGCCAGGACGGAGCTGTCGAGCTGAGGTTCGGTTCCACTAGCTCAGCAGGTCGAGCAGAGCCCCA